TGATAGAATATTGTGACAGTTTGGATAATTCCAGGAATGGAATATATTCGGAGTTTGGTTTTAAATTTTAATTTTTTTGCTTTTCATGTTGTCAAAAAAAAATTTAAGTGACATGTTCCTTTTGTTTAAAAATAAAATGATTATGGAACTTGGTAAACCAAAAATTGAACATTTTTGCTGTAAGTATTTATTCAATTTTGGTTTGCAACATAAATGTACTTGAATGCAGTCTTAATTATAAGTCAACGAAAAAAAACAGAAAAGTAATTAACTACTAGTAGCAAAATGTCAATGTACCAAAAAAATTACAAATTACATAAATATGACAAACACATATGAAACACATGTAACCAGAATGTTCTGCAATGTCGTGAAACATGTTTCAACAAAATGCTTTAAAAATATATTTTCTTAAGGTCAAAATTCCATGGTTTGAGAAAAAAACACACAAAGGATTTGATTTTTAAGTATAAGGAAAATTTCTATTCTGCACTCTTCAATAATTGTGTTTCATTTAGGACATGAATTCGTGATAGTTTTCATACAATAAAAACAAAACAATAAAAATCAAACACACAAACTAACACAAAAGGGATTTCACAGTAAATAGATTCATACATTCTTTAAAAATGTTGCATCATAAGATATATGTTTATGTTAAAGATTTTAATGAAATAGGTGGAAATAACGAAAAGTAAATGATACCTCCAAGCCTATAAAAGATACAAATATTTTAATAGGGCATTTAACATGGCCCCTGGGAATTCTTGAGGTGGAATCAAATCCCAATGAGGAATAAGGTGCCCCTGTTGACCGATCACATCCGCCTGTCACATAAAACAAATGACTTGCATGTAAAGCAGCCATTGGAGTTTAATAATATCGAAAATGTTCCTTGATATCTGGTCCCATTGCTGTTAATTTTTCACTTTCCTTCAAACAATAAAACAAGATTTAAGATTCCTTGATCGACTTAATAAACTTCCTCCAGAACTTCTCCCTCTTTGCCGCGTTGTCAGCGTCAGGCCATCTGATTGGTTTAATTTTCCACCAAACGTACAGGAGATCTCGAGGAAGATCCTCAACTCCGATGTCGTCCTTGATAATTAATAAAATCCGGGCGTTTTTATGAATTGCATGGATTTTTGCGACCTGGATTTCATATGTTCCCCAGTCATATTTCAAAAATGTTTGTGTGACGACAAAAACAACACATTTACTTATGTTTATGAACTCCACAACTTCTTCTGCAAAGGTACTTCCAGGTTTAAAATCTTTATCCCGGAAGGATATGCGAAGATTTTCTTTCTGCAATTTAGGATAAAGATGCAAACTCACAAACAAGGAGTCAACGGGAGAATATGATATATACGTATCAAAAGCAGATGAATCTCTTGTCAAATTATTGGCAAAACCACGTCTCCAAAATAACCTTATTCTTAGTACACCATACCGAAGGATTATCCTATATCGATACATTATCGCTACCACTAGCACAATCAAAAACATGGACGACACAATTGATATCGATATATCCAACCACAGTTGAGAAATACATTTTAATTCTAATGCTCTCAAGTTGTTAATGATCTTAAGAACAGGTATCCGTGGGCCCTCCATCTCGTTGCATTGAGCCCTGTTCAAATAAACAAACTTTTTGATATTGTCTCTGATCCATTTCAAGGATTCTAAAGCATTGCAAGAGCAGTCAAATGGGTTGTTTCTGATATCTATCATTATATTGGGTAAATTATCAATAATTGATATAGATTCTTTTGAAAAATAGGACAGTTTGTTAGATCGAAGGTCAAGGAATTCAAGCCGAGGAATGAAATTTAAGGCACGTGGTATTGTGGTAAATGAATTGCTTTCGAGTATCAGACACTTCATTGAAGACGCTTGGCTGAGAAATAAATCTGCAGGTAACTCTTTCAAGGCGTTTTCAGAAAAATCAACCATCGTTAATTTCGACAGTCCACGAAAGAAAGTTCCATTTACATCAGTGGCTAGACCGATATTCAATTTGGTATTACGCATATAAACTTCTGTTAAAGAGGGGAGATGCTTCAAAAAATGTAAGTTTAAATTATCACAAGACGAACCTGAAACATCAATGCTTCTCAGACTCGGAAAATGTAACTCTATATTGTTTAAAGAACAGAGGGGAAAACCTATATATTGAAAGTTTATCTTTTTGAGGTTTGTAGCGAATATTTTTAATTGAACGTAAAGTAGTAAAGTTGGTTTTGCGTAGGTGTAAGAAACGTCGATTTCCTCCAAGGATTTTGAGAGAGTGGCGTTAATAGGAGGCCGTTTTGGTAACATTTCCCTCATCTCTAATAATTTCCCTCTTGAACTTGGTAATCGGCAATCATTCAAATGACTGAAATTGACGAGTTTGATTCGTCTCGCTTGCAAGAACATGACGAATGTGGAATAGGTGTAGATTGAATTATGTGACACATCAATTTCTTCAATGCATTCCATAAATATGGATGGGTTTAATGTTGGTATTCCGACAGTATTTGTGTCCTGTAGAGAAAGGAACTTCACACAAATGTTTTTGAGAAATGCTACATCATAATTGTTGAGGAGAACGGGTTCACCATTGAAGGGACTTGATCTTGTAAAGTTGATGTATTCCATTTGATTAAATTTCAGTCTTTTCAAAGATTTCAAAGATTTCAGAACGTAACGTAAACCGCAAAATGTTTGAAAAGTTAACCCTTTCAAAGAAGAAAAAGGCCAGAATATATCTTCAATATCATGGTAACAAGCACTATGATCACTGAATTGGAGGTCCAAATATTCAATACTTAGATTTCCCAGATTCATAAATGAATAACTGTCAAACCAGAAATAAGTTGATGGTAAAATCTGTAGATACTGCAGCCTTTTCAACCTTTGGAATTCTGTAGAAAAGCTTAAGTAATAAGTTGCATCTAATGTGAAATTTCTTAATGACGTCAGCCTTCCTATTTCTACATCCGGGTATCCGCCTTTAGAAAAAGGATTGTCATTCATTCTCAGATCCTCAAGCGCTGTCAGATACCTGAATGCACCCTCCTCTATTGAATCTTTTGTTAAGCCATTCCCGGCCAAATCTAATATACAGAGCTGAGAGCAATGTTGAAATGCATTCTTTTCAATACGCTGCAGTTTGTTTCTTGTGAAATATAATGCTTTTAAAGCATCCATTCCTTCGAAATCTGAATTGGTAAGATTTCTGATATTGTTGTATGACAGATCTATTGCGATTACTCCTGAAACATTGACTTTTGGTACAGAAGTAAATTCCTGATGCTGACAGTCATAATAAACACCGCCCGTACCGCATATGTTATTCTTATAGATGGACAAACATTTTGCATGTACCTCAATCATGAAAGTGGAGATAATGGTACCTGTTCAAAGTAAAGGATATTCTATGATTAGTTAAAGAGAAATGAAATATGGAGACCAACTAGTATTAAGCTCAAAGTTCATTCGGACAATAGAAATTTGGATGAGCGCAAACGCAAACCTCTACCACACAATGAATAGCTTGGATCAGAAGGCATGGAACAGAGAGCATCAACTGCCGTATGCTCTTTATGATAATTGGGAATAATGGGAATAACACGAAAAAATATGTTGATAATTCAATACATATAAAATATATAATTATTTATGTATATGAAACATGTAATGGCTTAAAAATATGAAGACATTCCTTAATTCTTATTTGACTTATTAGATTGAATTTGCTGACAAGGTCATTAGAAATGAATAACAATTATAATTAGTTTGTTTAAGAAAATTAAAAATTCCAGGTTTCCAATAACTTACATTTATGTAGAATTAATGTTTATGCCCCAAGAGCATGCTTTCGAAACGATAAATTGTTAAACAGATGTAGGGTACTAGGATACTCATAGATATGGTGATGTTACAGGGACCTCAACAGCTTGTTTAAAGCCATCATTCCATTTTCGCTTTGGTCTTTGTTAGCATATATGACCTTAAATTTGGACTTATTTTGGCTGACTCGTTACATATAAATTGTTAGGCATCTTGTATCAAATTTATCAACTGAATACTACAGTATTTTATCTTATAAATAACAGGGCTAACGGTAGATGTGCCTGGATTTACATGAAATGTTTACTCTTCCTAGCTATAGGCTCCTGATCCAACCTATGAAATTTCCAGAGATCCGGGTCCGTCTTTATGTCCTCTTCACAACATTGAATTGTTTGTAGATTTTTTTTAAGATCGATTACTTTCGTTAACTTTGTCTTTTTATACAAAATGCCGAGATGTTTATCTCAAAATAATAAAATACAACTTTACAAAACAAAAAATTAAGCTTTAATTTTTATTCATTTTACATATATTTTAAAGTCATAATTTCGTAAGGTCGATAAATGACCTTGTTAGCAAATGAATTAATCATTCAGTCAAATGACGACTGACGTTTTTCATACCAATGGTAAGGCCATTATTTACACAATGAATTGACGACAGATTTATCTGTCATTTTCCATTCATGACAACGAGCACACAGTGAGTGTTACCGGTCTTCAGGGGATGCACACTCCTCCATGGCACCTGATCCCACCTCTGACATTTCGAATGTCCATGTTTGCTCTATTTTGAATTGTTTTATATGGCCCTTTGAGCTTAATACTGTTCCTAATCTCCATATATTTCATCGTCTTAGTAAGATAATTTTGTATGTCTTCGATGTTGACTTCAATAGCGTATTTCATACAAAATGTAACCTAAAGTATTTTAAAAAATATTCTTCAACAACTACTACATGAGACCAACGATACTTACCCCAAAATGCAATATTGTTGAATCCAGAAAGTAGAAGAAACATGTCGTTGTGATAAAATGAATTTAATCCAATTTTTCTAGAATTCCTTCCCTGTTGCCTTATGTAATGTTTTCTTTAAAAAATCTAAACGACAAGATCACACACAGTCTTTTAACATTTTTACAATAATACATGTATAAATGCATATTGAACCATTTTCCTTGGTAAGATCGTGATTTGTTCTCCCTTTTGAATTAAAAAAAAAAGCAACGATACTTACCCCAAAATGCAATATTGTTGAATCCAGAAAGTTGAAGAAACATGTCGTTGTGATAAAATGAATTTAATCCAATTTTTCTAGAATTCCTTCCCTGTTGCCTTATGTAATGTTTTCTTTAAAAAATCTAAACGACAAGATCACACACAGTCTTTTAACATTTTTACAATAATACATGTATAAATGCATATTGAACCATTTTCCTTAATAAGATCGTGATTTGTTCTCCCTTTTGAATTAAAAAAAAAGTTTATTGAATTACTTTTGTCAAAAGAATTTTCACACTAAATGCTTACTGCACAAGAAGGAAATTTAAATATCAAGTCGTGAAGAATTTCAATACGATGAAATAAATATCAAATCAGAAGCAAATAATAAGGCGGATTTTTAAATTGATGAATAAATGTGAAATACAAAGTATTAAAAAGTATTTTAAAAAGCCTAAACGACATTCTGTAGACATGATTAAACGGGGACATTATTGCAATTATATTTACATCCACTGAATATTTTTTCCTTTAGTTCTTAAGAAAACCCATTAATCAGTGCATGAACAACACTAGACATATCACCTGTACAGATTTCTTGATCAGTGGCTGTTCCATCAATGAAACATACTAAGACGAACGTATCAATAATACAATAATTAATCTTTTTTATCCTACTTTAAATGATTATTTAAACAGGTATAAATGTAAACAATGAAATGTCTTTCTTTGGTTGCTAGTAATGGAATAAATGTAGTGGCTATTACAGAAAGAATTTACATAACACGTTAACGCTGGTTAATTATGTATTTTTTCTGCAACATTGCGACATTCAATCCCATACTAACAACCAAACAAAGCATTTCATTGTTTAAATTAACCTTCCTAGTTCTTGAGTATTCAATTTGGAAGTTAACGGTAGAAAAAAAGAATGTTCATTTTTTAATTAAGCATTGAATTATCATTTTTTGAAAGATGCAGTTTCATAACTGCAATGGTGTGTGCATACAAATTTGTTACTCAATTTGTTTGCACACATCATTGCAGTTATGAGACGGCATCTTTCAAAAAATGATAGCTCAATGCTTAATTTACTGCATGACAAACTTGATACTCCAGTTTTTCTTTTGTCAATCCAAATAATTATATGAAGACAATTATGATTCTGCAACTTCCATATCAATGGATTCCTCGTTTTGCGGAAAAAAAATATAAGCTCTTGAAATTTAAAACATGGAAATTTTTAAGAGTTTGAAGAGTTTTTTAAGTATGAAAAATTAGATTTTCTCATATAATCCAATAGTAAACGGACTTGTACATGTATTTCGAGACGGTCCTTTTAAAAATACGTGGACGAGAGACTTTCCCAAACTTGGCATGTACACTGAAGTAAATGTAAGCTACCGCAAGCTACATATATTATAAGATTTAAGAGCATCTCCATTGTAGTTTTCACACAATAAAACTCCAGTCGGCTCCCTATAATATATCACGTGTACTTACTTAATTAGTATCCCTGGCCCTTTCTGAGTTCTGAGATTACGAACAGTATTCGATATCAAAGTCCAAAAAACAATACAAACGCACGGGAAATAATGGAAAAATCCGTCGTCAATTCAGTGTATAAACAATGGACTAACAATTAGTACGGAAACGTCAGTCAGCATTTTTCTCAATGATAAATTGTATTTGCTGACAAGGTCATTGTATCGACCATAGAATTTACGAAATGATGACTTTAAACGAGACTGTTGATAAACTTGTTTCATCAACTTGCTTGTTAATCATTTACCTAGTTTTAGAAATTTTTCATATGTAGAGCATGCTCTTACGTATCGAATCAACTGAGATATATACACTCCGTATTCAGGTGACGAAGGTATATTGCTGCATAAGTAAGGAAAATTAACGATAGAAAAGTTAAAGTCATCATGTTTATCATATAGTTTGGTTTTTAGATTACTGTTAACGTCTTTTTCAAGTAAAATATCCAAGTATGAAACAGATATGTCAGACTCTGTGGTATCTTTTATCTCAAGCTCACCAGGAAATATCGTATCAACGTAGGAATGGAAATGATCATTGTTAATTGACAATACGTCGTCGATATAATTATCTAAATGTTGAGTTGAAGGCCAAGCAAGTGTTTTATTCTTTTCACGATTAAGATTTTGCACAAATTCTGCTTCATATGAACATAGAAAAAGATCTGCTAATAACGGAGCGCAATTGGTACCCATGGGAATTTCAATAGATTTTTGAAATACCTGGTCTCAAAAAATTACATAGATATTGTCAATCAGAAACTCAAGCATATTTTTGATGTCAACTTCAGAGTACTTGTGTGTGCAATCAGAATTTGTTTTAACAAAATAATTTTGCAAATGACCAATGACCTGGTAAGTAAATTTACAAGTTCCATTTTTATTGAAAAAGCATCTGTCTATGACATCAAACAGCCTGGATTTTAATTTATCGTGGAGAATGGTTGTGTATAAAGTAGAAAAGTTTTTTAGGTGTTAATTTTGGAAAATTCTTGTGATTTCAAATTGTACAAAAGTTCTTTGGAATTTTTGAGTATCCACATCTGAATTACACCACTTTTTGGATATATTGTTGCGCATTACCCTTGAAGTTTTTCCTTCACTACTGTCAATATCTTAGTGAGGAGTAACGAAAGAGGCTTGGTTGAGCATTAACTGGAACCCGCAATGTATCTTTTTAAGGATTTTTATGAAGTTTCGGAATCCAATATACACCAGACAAAATTTCTAACGCACCACTTGTTAATTCTTATTTGTGAACTGAACATATTGCCGGATCGGTAATAGTGAAAACAATATACCATTATTCTCAAAACAGTGAGATTGAAAAATGTCTATCATGAAAAGACCCTTGAATGACCTTCTTGTCCGCAAACCAATTTCCAGCTGTGCACTGCGCACCATTTTTACCCAGTTATGATATTCTTGATTACTAAAGGTGGTCAGTGAGGTTGCCATATCAGTAGTCCCCCAGCTATAAATCAAATAACAAACAGTCATTGACTGCCATATCGCCTAGTAATCATCCAGTACCTTAGTGTCCATACTAAATCCACTCAACTTCCGGTTGATCTGGTTTTGTGGAACAATTTTCAAATGATTGTATGCTCCTAACTTAATGCCGTGGTTATCTATAATGAATATTTTTATGTTTGTGAATCTTTTTGCAACAATTTTTCATGAGTGGAATTCATAAACTTTTTATTGTTTTCATTTCTTTTTCTTTTTCTTTTTTTTTTTTTTTTTTTACAGATTTCTCTAAATGAAGCCCCTGCAGACGCCATACTGTCTGATTTAGCGTTAAATGCAGCATGCGGTGTAATTTTTTTTCTGAGTTTTTAATTAGTACAAATGTAAAGAACACAAATACAATTTTTTTTCTATGAATTGGTCACACTTCAGTAAATATTGTAGTTATTTATAAGGTTTGACATTAATATGCTATATTTTGTATTAAAGTATCATATTTATATAAAAAATACGGTATAAGTGGAAATTTTAGCGAGACGCAAATTTAGCGATTTGTCCTTAAAAACTGGTAATTTACATTTAGCGAGATATTATTTTAGCTATTTTCAAATGCACATTAAAGAAGATATTACAAATAAAACACAATTTATTTTTAGCGATATTTAATTTTAGCAATCTCGGCACCCTCGCTAATAATGCCAAAATTTAATCCTCGCTAAAAATTCTACTTATACGGTACATCATTAAAACGTTTTTAAAAGTAAGCAATTTTGCCCAGTGTATATAGGGTAGTTCAGATTCATTTTGGCTCTGTGAAATATTAAAAATATTTAAAAATGGCGTATGATTTCGAAGAATCTCGAGTATAAGTAGGATTACCACTTGTAGAATTAAATTCAAGTTCTTCTAAAATACAATTTATATAATGAGTCTTACAAACGAAGACAATGTTGTTACCTTCTTTGTCAGCAGGGACCAGTAAGTACTGATCATGTAATATATGTAATTCTTTTTTCACTTCTGGATTATTGAACACAGAAGGATAGATGGTTTCAATATTGCCCCTCAAACTTTTAATACGTGACTTTAATGTTTAACATGGATCTGCAGGTTTATTGCACGTCCGATGCCCATGACTACGCTTACGTCTCTGTGTATGGTTAAAAAGTCCCATCACATTAACATTGCTACACTGTGGGATGGAAAGATTTTTAACACTATCGACATTGTCATTACATCAATAGGGAAAAGCTTTCCCTAGTTTTCTAATCTAAAATTCTTCTCGTTGTCTACTGAAAGGTGTACTCAGCTACGGACTATTTGTGTGGTGATAAATCTTTCTGAGAAAAAATAGACAAAATAGAATGATCAGGTAAATTAAAATGTTTGTATAAAAGCTGCTGCATGAAAACCATGATTTATTTGAAATCAATGACCAGATATTCTTTTATTAAGTGATCCCTTGGATTCATAAAAAAAACAAGTCCACACAGATTACAATCTATTCCATAGACAACATAAATAAATGGGACAATTAAAATCTTTAATATATTTAACATCAGTCATTTAGCAGCCTTGCTATTGTACATGCTATTGCAATAGTAGTCACACATTCAGTATTCTATTGTGTAGACCACGAAAAGAATACTCCAGGATCCGAAAACAGCATGGATTCCCTTTTATTGCAAGGACCACGGAAATAATGTAAGAAATCTTTCAAGCCCACAGAGTGTCAACATGAATAAATAATCGACTAGTAAGATATACGTGTAGCCATGGACATGAATAATGTAGCATATAAATTTTGTCCTATACTCCGAACTCAGGGAGGGATCTTTTTCCTGCCAGCGCTTACTGTGACACGGGACTTCGGTTTATAGGAACGGTCTCTTCGTCCCACAGTGGGATGCACTCGCGACGTAATTATCAACTCTTTACTTCGTGATTCTAGAGCAGACGCTCTAACCACATGCAACGCTACTCGGGGAAAAATGAGAAATATTTCATTTTCATTCTTGCCACTGATAAGGTTTGAACTGCCTTATGTGGAATCAATAAGGAAAGGACGGATAGTAATATAGATGATGTTAAATCAGAGAAATAAAGAATGCAGAATATTTATGAAATAATGAGCACACAAGTCAATAAATCCTTTCAAATAATATGAAAAATTTATCAACTTCAACTTCCCTTACTTATGCAGAAATATACCTTCATCATCTGCATGCGGAGTATATATATCTCAGTTGATTTGATACGCAAGAGAATGCACAAGGTATGAACGATTTCTAAAACGAGGTAAATTATTAACAAGCAAGTTGATGAAACAAGAATATCATCAGTCTCGTTTAAAGTCATCATTTCGTAAGTTCTATGGTCGATGCATTGACCTTGTCAGCAAATACAATTCATCATTAAGTCAAATGCTGACCGACGTTTTTCATACCAATTGTTAGTCCATTATTTATACACTGAATTGAAGACGAATTTTTTCCGTTATTTCCTGATCATGACAACGAGCACACGGTGGGTGTGACAAGTCAGCAGGGGATGCTCACTCCTCCATGGCACCTGATCCCACCTCTGATGTTTCGGGGGTCCGTGTTTGCTCTGCTCGTATTTTGTATTGTTTTATGGATTTGAGATTGAATACTGTTCGTTATCACCATATCCATCTTCCTACTTATTTTTTGATTTTTATGGTAAGATTTATTACATGTATCAATCTCTTTAAAAAGTACATGAAATCGTTTCGCAGATTTTATTAGCTAGATAAATCACAGCCAGGTATCAAAACATCTCGATCATAAAAAAGCTCTGTCAATAAATGTATAGGTGTGACAATCAGAAGCAGAATATGAGCATGATGAAGGTTAAAAACTTCATCTGTCATCATTTACTTCATTTGAGTGAAGCCTACGATCTAGTGAAAGCACTATATTCGGTATATTGCATATCCTTTCCCCCACAAAAATCAAATTTTGAAAAATTCTTAAAATGTGTTGTATTGTATAAATTGTATGAAAAAAATAAATTGATAATATATATTATCCCAGAAAGCAGCATGTTACTTGACCATTATTGGACTAACAATGCTACTTATGTTAGGCCACCATTTAACATTGGGCCAACGGTAATTTGTTAATCGGCCATTAATCAGACCAACTTCTTGGCTTATTATTGTTGGGCCAATGTAACAGACAATATTGGGCCATTGTTGGACCAATGTATTCTCTCAATATTAGGCAAACGTCATTTTTGTTCAGTTGGGCCATTGTAAGCCATTAATGTTGGGCCAACGGCAATTTGCTCATCGGCCCTTCATCAGACCAACTCGTTGGCTTATTATTGGGCCAATGTAACGGATATTATTGAGCCATTGTTGGGCCAACGTATTCATTCAATAGTAGATAAACACCACTTTTTGGCAAATGTCGGTTTGTTTCTTGTTGGCTCTCCATCAGGACAACTCATTTGCTCTTCACTGGTTGGCCATTTGTCCTTACAATTGAAACAAACTATATATAAGCAGGTTAGGCTAGAGTTGTGGTACATTATACAGTACCTACATCGTTATTCTTTACAAATCTATCGTGTCCTATCGTGCGTATATCCTATCGTATCGTGCGTGTATCCTATCGTATCGTGTTTTGCGTTTTCTATCGTGTTTTCCGTTTATCGTGTTTTGCGTTTATCGTGTAGATCGTTTATCAGGTTCTGTCGTGTAACATGTTTTTCGTTTATCAGGTATATTCGGAAACCCTCGCTTTTTATCTTTACTACAGGGAGAAACTACCGAGATATTCTGAGTCTCTTTTTCGTTTTGTTAACTAAAATAAGATTATTTTAACCAAGAAAGAGAAAAGAAAGTTTTAACCCTTATTTTTTCATCATTAAAAGAAATATTAAAGCCTGGAAGGAAAAGAATTAATATAAAAACAATACAATTAATAAATTAGATAATTAATATTAAATTAAATTAAGAAAATAATCATATCATAGTCAAGCAGAGAATCAAAATTGATTTATGAAAATGAAATAATCGATTCCCTGATTTTTATTTTTAAGTACAGCTATTTGTAAGAACCAGGCAGGGGGTGATTCATGACCATTTCAGATCTTTACAAAATTTATATATGTTGCTTCATGGACCAAGGGAACATCATTGGACAACATAATTTTTTTGGTCAGCCTTTGTTGCCATGGAAACAATGCACCATGTAAATGCACATGGCAACCAAGCAAAAAATTCAAAAAAATGTGAATTTAGCTATTATTGAACACAGGAAAAGAGCTTTTTAAATGATAGTACCATAAATAAATCTTTTTTTCCTGAGAAGTACATACAAAATGATAAATGATTACCATAAGGATAAAATTATATAGGATTTATGGTGCTCAATTTCAATTTAACATAGGTCATTTCATAAAATTCACTTTTCACAATATTTCTTCAAATCCAACATATTTTAGAAGAATATTAACAAAAAGCATTTAAAGAAATCTGATAACATAGATAACTTCTTAATTTTAATAAAATTAAATAAAACCCATGGGTTTTTTAAAAATATTTGTTACCATGGCAACGAAATGTCACAAAAATTCATTTTTTAAAAATAATAACCGTTTTTAGGAGCAAATTAAAAAAAAATCCCACATGTTAAAGAAATATGATAATGTGGAATGCATGAAAATGCACTTCCTTAATTTCAATAAAATTATAAAACCCATGGGTTTTTAAATAATATTCTGTTACCATGGCAAAAATGTCACAAAAATTCATTTTTCATATAATAACGGTTTTTAGGAGCATAAAATAATTTTTATGTTTAAGAAATCTGATCATGTGGAATAGAAAGAGCACTTTATTAATTTCAATAAAATTAAACAAAACCCATGGGTTTTTAATTATTCTGTTACCATGGAAACAAAATGTCTCAAAAATTCATTTTTCACAATAATAACCATTTTTAGGAGCATAGTTAGAAAAAATCCCACATGTTAAAGAAAACTGAAAGCATGGGATAGAAAGACCACAATCCTAATTCTAATAAAACAAAATAAAACCCATTGGTTTTTCAAAAAAATTCTGTAACCATGGCAACAGAATATCACAAAAATTCATTTTTCACAGAAAATACCAAAATACATCATTTTCAGAGTATGTTGTGGAAAAAATACCACAAGCACAAAAAATTGATAATATAAGATAGAAAATGTTCTCCTAAACCTTGCAAATATTAGATAAAACCAGTGTATTTCTCATTAATTTTTGTAACCATGGTAACAAATTATCCTGGAAATGCTTTTTAAAATAAATTAACTATACAAAATCTCCATAAAATACAAAATAACTATTGACTAACATACATGTAATATTTTCACAGTTTATTGTAAATGCATGAAAATATATTTTTTTAAATATGCTTTTGTGATTTGTATCTGGTTACCATGACAGCATCTCCAAAAATATTGTATTTGCCTATACAATTTAGTCAATGTGATAAGCTTGTATGAAGAAAACTGCCATTAGCTAAAATACTGAAAGACACATTTTTTGTACCTAAAAAACAAATATTTGGTTTCTGTGGTAACTGTGATTAACCATTTATGACACATGATCTAAATATTTCAATTGTATTTTTAAAGCAATTTTTGAAAAATCATCTGTAAATGTACTTTTTGCTGAAATAAATAGTTTACAGTAAAGAAATCTTGAAAAAATGTCAATATAACATTATACATGTAAAGTGTATCAAATGTCAAAAAACCCATGTTCTTGACTAGATAGGCAAACTAAAATTCAAAATTTTATGTTGAAGGGGTCTAATATTAAATATCCTTGGGTGTATCCTGGTCTTGGTTTCAATAAAACCCCTTTTACATTTGGAGCTTAAAAATCAATATCCTTTGTTTCTGATCTGGATTTCTTTCAAAAAGTTTTAAACTGACAGTGTCTTTATTAGATTTTTTTGGCCATCATTTAGAAATGTGCCGTTAAGATTATCTGTATCAACTGTACAGGTACATCTATGTGTCCTGGCTGCTAAATGGGTGCTCCAGCTAGATTCCTCTGACATAATGCATGTGGTTCATTCATCAATCTGGAAAAAATATAATTCAAAATTTGAACTTTGTTAATGAAAATAGACATTTCGTAAAGCAATATTTTCTTGTTGCTGTTGAAGGAGGAGAGTAGCTATGGTTCGTTTTCTCTATGATCATGATCATGAATACAAGAAGGCCATGGTCCATAACACTAACCAGAGTAACTGGTCATGCTGTTCTACACCAGATTTTCCTACTTGTAATACCTTTTGTGGTTTAGGTCTATTCTTAGGGGGAGGGATTTAAACAATTTAGAATACACTTAATCCCTGGATGCTTTAACACAAGTTTCAGCTTTTCTGACCCAGTGGCTCCCTATTTTTTCTCTTTTCCTGATTATCACCCCTTGTAAGGGGTCTTAGCCCTGCCAAGTTTGGTAAAAATTGGCCCTGTGGTTCTTGAGAAAAACCTCAGCTCTACAATTCTTCTCTAAATTTTCAAGTGATGTAACCCCTTCTTTAACCCTCACCCTATCCTTGCCTCAAGTAGTTAGCTGTTACCGGTATTTGATTCTGAATATTAGTATAACTATTACAGCCTTGCTCATCTGAAAAAGGTTTTTTTTCAACAACAAAAATTCTGTTTAGATATGCTGCATTTTATAAATTTTAATTTCTAACTTTCTACTGATTTTAGTTTCCAATATTCAAAGAAACATTTGTATGGATTGAACAAAATAATGAAGATGATATACAATAATACATCTTTTACTCCTTTTTGGCTTCCACATACATGTAACAGCAGTAAAACTTGTTTAGTACAAACACAGACATTGTGAATTCACAGAAGTCTTCTTGGATCCCCAACTATATAAATATTACAAAATTACAAATATGGATATAACAAATTATATAGCGAAGTACTTTTACAGGTCCAGTTTGTTAAAACCGAGTTGTACTGTACATATATGTGTAGATAAATGATTTAACAAGAGACACAGGGCCACATCACTCACCTGGCTTGGATAAAAATCAAAAATCAGCTTTGTATTGAAAAGCTTAAAAGCATATGTGACCTCTCCCTGTAAGGGAGAGAGAGAGATGATTGAACATAACTGAATCTACACTAAGGATGCTTACAGGGTACTTATTTTTGACTAACTGTGAGTTTTTCCCTACAAGTTTGAACACTTTTATTGTACCTGGGGGGGGGGGGGGGGTCATGATTTGAACAAATCTACACTACAAGAAAATGCTGCCATATGTATATATAACTTACTGGCTTTTCTGTTCTTTGGAAGAATATTTTTAAAGGATTTTTTCTTTATATTCTTAGTTAAACTTTGATTGGCCTTTGTGGCCCCACCCTATCCCAGGGGTCATGATTTGATCAAACTTGAATCTACACCACCTGAAAATGCTTTCATATACTCAGTAAATATTACCAATCAAGGCTTGCTGTATCCAAGAAAAAGATTTTAAAATATTTTTTTTATATATTCCTATGTTAAACTCTGATCATCCATTGTGGCACCGTCCTACACATGGGGTTCATGATTTGAAAAATTTGAATCTACACTACCCGACAATGGTTCCACATACGGTAAGTTTCATCTTTCCTGGACCATTGGTTTTTGAGAAAATATCAGTAATGCTATTAATTTTGTAATTCTCTCCCCTTGAAGAATGACAATGACAGATAAAAGACAAACTTTGATCAGAAAAGATCACTTGAGCCTTCAACTCAGGTGAGCTTAAAAATTCAGAGAATCAAGATCCGAAGAAATATATACCTGTTTCAAAGTCTCTGAATGGCAGTGTTCACTATAATTCAACCCTTAGTCAGAAGGCCCTTGATTGCTAAACGAAAAGGAATGTTCTTAATGATAATTAAAAAAAATGCAAGTTGTCAACACAAATTACCCAATTATTTAATGATACATAAATGATATAAAGTATATATAACACTAACGTTAGTTGAATTGATAATCTTTTCTTGGTGACGGTTGTCCTCAATTTTTAAGTTTACATTACCTCAGCTGTGCAGGTGTTGTCAAAGGGGATTTTGAAATTCAGAACAAGGCTCAGACTGCATCTGAAATGATAACAAATCATGAAATTCATCATATGACAAGAGAATGCATACATTTATATAACAATTTAGCTTTTGAATTATTGATAATAAATACTTATTTACCTCCCCCCCCCCCCTCCCCCATGTACTAGTGATATCATCATGAATTCATACTATTAGCTATAAATTGAAAAAGAGTTCTAGTTTTGTAGGATCAAATTTTATTTTTAAGTTTTAAACCTATAAATTAGACGAAAACATTGGCAGAAACCTATTCATATTGTATGTGCTCTCATATTTATAAATCTCTCTCTTTCTATGTGTGTATATATTTACTTGTAGGAATATTTGGGAAGCCCCCCCCCCCCCTCCCCCATTCAGATAGGGTTATATGGCTTTACACCCCCTCCCACCATTTCAACTGATAAAACCAAACAGTATTTTATTGGTTGTTTTGCTTGTCAATTAAATTTTGTAGGACTCCCCACCCTTATATATAATTCAAATAAAAGAAAATGCATTTGAAGAATATCATACACATATAAGTTTGGAAATATACAGTTTGAAAGGACACAATTATAAATTTTGAGTAAATGAATAAGAAAAATAGTACATTGTAATTATGGTTTTGCCATAACATCTGAGTTTTTTCAGGGCTTAATTAAATATTCACTAGTTTAAGAAGGACCCATTGGCCATTCCGAAAACAGTGTTTGAAATAACAGTGCGCCTGACCGCCCGAGACGCACAGATTTTGCTGTGGGCTTACCAATTTGCACATATTGATGCCCAGCTGGACTTGTTTAAAGTTTTCATTAATTAAAATTTAATAATTTGATTAATCGCTTCCGAATCAACTAATGGTATCATGAGCAGTACAGGATTTATGATTAAAAGGGAGGGGGGGGCGTGGATAACTTTGTTCAGACAAGGGGTCTTGATAGTGATGTTCCAAAGTACAGTCATATGTTTAGTCATACCATAGTTTGAATGAAGGGGGTCCAGGGGGCAAAGCCCCAGAAGCTCCTGAGATTTTGTGTTTAAGAGTAAAATTAGGCAAAAAAATAGTGGTATTGTACGAAAGTATGGCAATATTAATATATTTTCCTACAGCAAATTATGGTCACTATTATATTCATATGGGGGGTATCATTTGCTCATTGCTCACAGTACCTATAGTTTCAAAAATCAATTTTACAAAAGACAATTATTTTCTCAGCTAGGCTGGTAGATTTTTACCAGAACTGATAACTTTTACTAGCAGTCAGTCTGTATGTTTGCTATCAATTTTTCTGACTTTCTCCTATTTCAATTTGAAAAAAAAAATAGTCAATATTGCCTTTGTTTAGACATTTGTCTGTGTTATGTATTAAATACCTGATCTAAATATGACATCCATAGAGGCACCGATACATAGAAAAAATTATGCTCCATCCAATCTCTGCTGTGGCTTTCACTGCTTCTTGCTATGGCTTCATGTATGCTGAGGTCGAGGATTTCTTCCAGTCAACTGTGTATATTGCAGTACTAACGGATTATCGACGGAAAGGAGAGATACTCATCATACTCTAATCCCCAGCAGCGAGCTACTGTTCAAATTCCAGTACAAAATTAAATGTTTTTTCCCCAACATTAACTGAATTTAAGTAGTTTTTATGTTATTGTTAAACAAGTTAGCCTAAATCAAAACACTCAAACTCATAGCATGTTTAACTTTAGGAAATAAAATTTTGTTTTGTCAGATAAAAAAAGCAAATTGCAGGCAGTTATTATTTTTAATCCTAGGATTATAATTTTTCTAAAGAAAATTTTAGACTTACATGCCCCTTGGACGTATGAAAACCGGCAAAACTTCCAAAATGAAGATAAAATCACACACATTTCTTAATCCTCCCCTTCTAAACTGAAGAGTTAAATACACTCTTTCCAACTCCTTTTACTAAAGAGTGCCAAGGGAGATAACTAGAATTTCATGTTTTTTCATAATTTAAAATCACAATATCTATTCGTAATTAAAATAACCCATGGGTTTTTTAATTGTTTTTTACTCTTTGATACTAGATGTTCAATATTTTATAATTCACATTCAAGGAGTGCGGGCCTTCTTAAAAAATCACCTGCACGTACAGACACCTTTCAATGGATATTGTTGACTGTTTCAGTATATATTGAATTCATTTTTTAATCAGCTATGCATGAAATCCATTTATAACTGTGATCAAGTATTTAGTTTGATGTATCTTAATGTAAATATGATAGTTTTTGAAAAATCTATCACTATCATGAATCACTTATTTTCATTTCTGCCTGGTTCTTATAAATAGCTGTACTTAAGTCATCGATTTTCTTGAATTAGTCAGAGTCAGAATGATTTTCGGTAAGTCACGGTGTATACGTATCCCGCCCCCCCCCCCCCCCCCCCCCGAAAAATTATAATAATAATTAGCAATTTAAGGGATAAATATGTATCTTTTTAAATGCAATATTCATTTCTCCCGATCAATCGTCTGGTAATATTAGGAATGTGTTTTCGCCTCTGATCTGCATGTATGCACAGTTATTTAAAATCTTGATTTAAAAAAAATAATAACAAAGCATTTAAGACATTGATCTAGATAACTTTAACATTGATATAGCCTCAATATTTTAAAATTATTTTCATCACTATCTAATTAGTTAAATTCCTTAATATGTCTAAATTAAAAAAAAATCAATATTATAAAATGTAATGGATGAAAATACTCTACCCGATTTATCACACCATGGCACTTGCTATAAAGTAGAAGTTTCTCAAAAATTTTATAATATGCCTTATATGAGATTACCGGGTAAGTCTAAAATAATTTTTAATGTTTAATAATTCATTTGCATTAGAAACAGTACACACAAAGTTTAATAGCAATGATTTATAGTTATTTAGTCGGAAAAGTCGCATTTCACTCTTTTAATATTTGTTTATTAATTTTTCTGTTTTGTATTGTAAAGAAAAAAAGTATTTTATCATTCAATGTTCGTTAATTAATACGAGATTTTAATTATCTGATATATAAATGCTTACATGTACATAAGTAAGAGCTTAGCGTAAACGTACATGTGCAGTTGTAGCAGATTCATATTCTGTTGACACAGTTTATATGCATTAATGCAGAGCGCCATTATATTAACAATTATTTAGACTTCTATTCAGGAAATAAATTTTCTTGAACTATATAGTTCTTTAAAGCCGATTTCTTTGGACATTTCCTTCGGCCCGTCTTCTACATGTATTTTTTCCCTAAGATTTTAATATTTAATTGCGATTTTTGAATGCACCGGATTGTAAGCTTCAGACATTAAATACAAATATTTAATCTATTGCGTTAATTTCTTCGGGAAATAACTTAGTACTTGTAGATAAATTTATTAGGTACAAATGTATAGTTTTTCATAAGTAATAAATCTATTTATTAGGGATGTCATTTTTACTCGGAGAGCTTAGTCGAATAGTCGGATGCTTTAGTCGAACGATAGTCGAATATTCGTTTAATGTTTATTTTTTCATATCATCTTTACTATTTGTCTTTTACAGACTAGTTTACAATATTTAACCTACGCTATCACCATTATGCAACGAATTTCTGAATTGTAAACGTGTACGTAGTACGATTATAAAAACTGTTCATCAGTATGTATCCAATGTATTTAATTTCAAAATTAATATATTAGCTGCACATTTTATCTAAATGCGGGATATCAAACGCTCGTATTTTTCCTTTCTTTACATAACGATATTACATGTACGCCATAATTGAAGCCAATTTCTACGTGTCCGTGAATTATATTTGACAGGTAAACAATTCAAGCGTGTCTCTTATAAAAATAAAGAGAGACCGAGAGCTTGGGATAAATTTTAATTATGAAGTTTTGTGCAAACAATCAATGATATGAGATTAATATCAGAAAAAGAAAACACGGTCTAATTATTATCATAACTGACCCCAGTTTACATGTATTTACAATGTTGTAATAGCTGTTTAATTAATATTCTATCTGAAGAGTTGTATCACGTCTGATCTTAGCTAGAATCTACAAAACTAAACAATTGTCCTCTCCATTTCAAACAGTAAAAGGTACACAATCATTAATAAACATGTTTGATTTTCTTTCCCAATCTGCTTTTTTTGTCATTTTTGCGGAGAACTTACTTTAGGAAAGTTTTACTGGAAGAATGTGTAAAATATGTTTGACTGATTCGGCATATATCATGTTTGATGTTACACTGCAAAATACAAGTTCTGTTGAAACATAACCTTGATAGCAAGTTGTTAAACTTTTTTGAGCTATTAATACCAAATCTGTAGATTCTGAAGACACGTTTTCCGAACATACATCGTCGTACAAATAATTTCCTTTGGATAGTTATACCATTACCTTAATTTTACATATGAAAATATTGATCTTTAAATAAATGAAATGGACAAATATAAGTTTTTGCCTAGAATTCAAAATTACTTTGATGAAACACATTTTTAACGAATAACCGACTAAAGCAATTTTAGTTGATAGTCGGTATGATCGAACGATAGTCGAGTACTCGAATATTCGTTGACATCCCTACTATTTATAGAGTTTCATAAATTTATAATAGTACCCGTGAGAAACGGCACATATTTATGTAAGGAATTTTTGTGCAACAATTACATGTATGTTAAAATATCCATAATTAAACGAGTCATAGTTCAAACTTAAGATGAGAGTTTCACCATTTACACAAATTATCGTAAATTCACACCCTTGAGTAGAAATTAAGAAAAAAATTACAGTCTCCATTTCATAATAATCCATTTAATCACTGTTAAAAAAATATAAATAAACAACTTTTGTACAATTACCAGTGATCTCAATTTTTTTTATTATAATAATTAAATGTACTTTATAATTTAGATTTGAAGCTTTGCAAGTATTTACATTAAAATATGGCAGTAACTGAACAAAATAATCATTTCATCTTGTCAGAATACGTTCCGCATTTTGAAACAATCCTATCAGGATTTGCGTTTATCCTATATTGAAGATAGTTTATCAGGTCTATTGTGTTTTGCATGTGTCATGTTTTGCGTTTAAAATGTTTTGCGTTTATCCTATCGTGCGTGTATCCTGTCCTATGTGCGTGTATCCTATCGTATCGTGTACCCTGTAAAGAATAGCGATGCGGGTACTGTACTAATAAAAGCCCTTCAGTATCATATGTGCTAAATTAATACATACATGTATTCACAATATCTCATAAGATTACCATCAACAAGTAATTATAATGCATTGAAAGTAGCTCTACATTAATGCAAAGGAAAATACTGAGAAAAAAAAGAATTAAATTCTTACATATTTTATTGTTCAGTTCATAAAGAATACATGTATGCTTCCTCTTTGATTTGAATACACAAGTTCAGTAAATTTCAGGTATTAATAAGAACGTCTAAAAAAGCCCTCCTGTACTAAAAATAGTACTAAAAAAACTTTCTTTTTTCAATATCTCTTCCATATTTTCTGCACAAGATACTCCGTCAAAGGTTGAGGGGGGGGGGGGGGCAAATATTGGTTATTACCGAATAAAGTCCTTTGGAATTCTAACTGAAAATTATATAAATAGCAATTTGCATTCCAAAACTGTCAGAGGGTTTCACTTTTTTTCTTATTTCAACATGAGGAGAACTGAATGTCAGTATATTCTGCAAAGCAGCTAGTCACGTCATAACTAAAAATAGAATCAATATGAGACCTTCTTCTTGTAATATCACCAAAATATGGCTGAAATATTGCCGACTCGGCGTTATAAAATTATAACTAATCAATCAACCACCTTCTTCTAATACGAGGGATGTGCAATAAGTAATGCAAATGGTCATCTAAACTAAGTAAAGCATGTACTGCATAGTGTTCCCCATTGACCTTTACAGATGTCTTAAATGTTTGTACTCGTCTCCAGAAAAGCTTCAGAACACTCATCTTTAGGGATGCACAATAAACACGATATTTCCCGATCATGACAAGGAGCACACGGCGGGTGTGACCGGTCGGCAGGTGATGCTTACTTTTCCATGGCATTTGATCTCACCTCTGATGTTTTGGAGGTCCGTGTTTGTTCTGCTCGTATTTTGTATTGGGTTATGAACTTTTTATCTTGACTACTATTCGTCATCTTCATTTTTTTTTCATAGTCCTGATATATCTGATTTTTGGTATACCATTTATAGCTTTCATACGTTTTAGGGATAAAGGGATTTCACGATGCCTGAGTTCTTGCGAATATGGGCGATCATTTAGCTCTGTTTTGTTTTATTTATACTGTCTTTCTTTTTTCTATGCTTATTTTCAGTCGTATTAGCTTCTCAGATGTAGGGAAATAACCATGTGACCGATTTTTCAACTTTTTAAAAAACAAAAACCCTGCCTACTTTTCCTGGTCGGTGCAATTATTTCTAAAAGGCATCATTCAAGTTCCTTCATTTTATCTCTGATTTCAACATATTTCATTATGCAATAAAAACATAAATGAATTAGGCAGCAAGTATAGCTTGTAAAAACCCTCTCAAAC